GATGAATTCTGGTGTATTGTGTCCAGTTTTGGAATGATATACTAACCACAGTAGGAATGCAGTGTGGGTTCACCTGGGATGAAGGGATGGTCTGGTGAGTAAAGATTAAATAGACTTGGTCGATATTCTCTGGAGTTTGAAAGAACTCAGGTGATTTCATTCAAATATATGAGGCTCTTACAGGAATTGACAGGGCAGATGCAGAAAAGATATTAACCCTGTGGAAGGGGTTTAGAATCAGAGGACACAGCCTCAGAACAAAGGGCAGGCAATTTAGGATTCAGCTTATGAGGAATTTCTTCAGTACTGAGAGGGGAGATGATGCGTACTGAATGAGATATGGACATGCCTACTCCCCAGAAGTACTTGAAATATCCCACAGCACTATTTAAGAAAGAGTCAAAGGGAGTTGTTAAAATGGCCAATATTTATTCTTCAATCAGCAGGTTGTCATGGTGTCCAGTGGTTGCCATGAGTTGAAATAATCACAAATTAAACTCAAAATGTTGGATTCATCAAGTATATTTTTTACAGTTCTCCATGTGGCTGGAGCTTGGTACATTTCTGCTTGGAGCCTGACCACAGTGCAACAGTAAATGTGACACCTTGAACAATAGAGTTCCGGTGTCTTTATGAATAATAGAATATTTCTAGATTGAGGTCCAAATAGATGGATTCTTGTTAGGCAGGGGAATCCAAAGTTATGGTGGATAGACAGAATTATGGTGGAATTCAAAACATGGGCAAGTCAGCCATTGAATGGTAGAGCAGGTTTGAGGGACCAAGTAGTCTACTTCTGCTCCTAATTCATTCATTCATGGGATATAGGCCTCACCGGCTGGGCCAGCATTTATTGCCCATCCTTAATTGGCCAGGTGAAGGTGACGGTAAGTTGCCTTGGGTTTTAGGGCCACCCACAGAGCCCTCAGGAAGGGATCCCAGGGATTTTGATCCAGCAACAGTGAAGGATCGGCAATAACTTTCCAAGTATGTGACTTGGAGGGGAACTTGCGTGTGGTGGTGTCCCCATGCATCTGCTGCCCTTGTCTTTCTAGAAGGTAGAGGTCACAGCTTGGGAATGTGCTGTTGAAGGAGACTTGGTGAATTACTGAGCTTCAGAGGCAACAGAGTGAATGCTTTAAGGGGAGGTGGTGACACAGCGGCAATGTCAGCGAACAGGAAATCCAGTAGCCCAGGTAAATATCCTGCAGACAGGGCCTCAAACCCCATCACAGCGGATGATATATAATTTCAGATCCACAGTGGTGTGGTTGACTCTTGGCTGCCCTCTAAAATGACTTGGCAAGCCAATCAAAACTGCTACAATTGTCAGACATTACCTGCTGCAATTATCTAGTTATTAATGTTTGTGGGGCCTTGTGGAGCACAAACTGGTTACTCTATTTCCTACAGTCCCTACAGTTTTAAAAGGAATTTTGGAGATGGTGAGAGTGTGTAATGTGCTATACAAATGCACGTTCGTTTGTTTCCCTCAGTGTGGGCTTAAATAATTCAGGGAAAGGTTAAACAGACAGAGATCTAATCAGATCATCACCCAAGAAGCTGGCACAGGCATCATGGGCTGAATGGCCTGCTTCTCTGCTGTATCTTTCTACAATGTCTATTGCTTTGGCAACGGTGCTTGCGTTCAAGTATAAACAGTCTGTTGATCCATGCTGTGTCCTTCTACAGATAGCACCTTCCCTCTGTGTGCACAGATTAGTTTGTGTGTCTGCTCAGTGCAATAGTCATGGCATGTTGGCTAGTCACAACTGGTAGAAGCAGAATATCAAATACAGGTCGGGAAAGTAAATGTGAAGACATCTGCTGTCTTTACCAGTCCCTGTTGGCACAGTGATTAGGAATACGACTCACACTGGCGTCAGCAATCTACTTAATCCTTACTTACATCACTGAGCCCCAGGTAAACTTTGAGATACCTACCGTTCTCCTGATTAACTCCACCCCCTGCTCCCACTTCATTATAGAAATGCCAGCTGTCCCACAATATCTCAGGACAAAAGGGATTATCTCTTCACAGACTGGCAAGCTCATATTTGGTTTGAATTTCTACTGAAATAATTGGCAGCCATATCTTGTTTAACCCAATATGTACCAGGGATGAGATGCGATTCATTACAGGTTGCAATTGAGCTCCATGTTTAGAAAGACAGGCAGCAGATACGTGGAAACACCACCAGCAACAAGTTCCCCTCCAAGCCATTTACCTTCCGTCTGTGTGCCTTATGTGTCTGACTTGGAAATATATCACCTTTCCTTCAGTGCCACTGGGTCAAGATCCTGGAAATCCCTCCCTGACAGCACTGTGGGTATACCTTCATCCCAAGGGCTGCTGTGGTTCAAGAAGGTACTCACCTCCATCTTTCTCAGGGTACAGTCATTGAAACAGAACTTTCGGCCCGACTAATCCATGCTGACCAGATATCATAAATTAATCTAGTCCCATTTAGCAGCATTCAGTCCATATCCCTCTAAACCTTTCCTATTCATGTACCCATCCAGACTTCTTAAAAATTCATTAACAGATGAGGGTGTTGCTGGCTAGGCAGCATTTATTGCCCATCCCTAGTTGCCCAGAGGGCAGTTCAGAGTCAACCACATTGCTGTGGGTCTGGAGTCACATGTAAGTAAGTTTCTTACCCTCAAGGAAGGACTTTAGTAAACCAGATGGGCTTTTTCTGACAATCGATTCACACTCATCATTAGGCTCTTAATTCCAGATATTTTTATTGAATTTAAATTACACGAGTGGCTAGGGTGGGATTCAAACCCACAACCCCAGAATATAATCTAGGTCTCGAGATTAACAGTGCAGTGATAATACCATTAGGCCATCACCAGATGCCTTTTAAATGGTGTAAATATACCAGATTCCACCACTCCATCGAGCAATTCATTCCATACATGTACCACCCTCTGTGTCAAAAAATTGCCCCTCAGCTCCCTTTTAAATCTTTCCCCTCTCACCCTAAACCTATGCACTCTCGCTTTGGACTCCCTGATCCTGGGAAAAATCTTGGCTATTCACCCTATCCATGCCCCTCATGATTTTATAAACTTCTACAAGGTCATGCCTCAGCCTCCAACTCTCCAGGGAAAATATCCCCAGCCTTCCAATAGCTCAAACCTTCCAAGCCCACCAACACCCTTGTAAATCTTTTCCGAACCCTTTCAAGTTTAACAACATCTTTGCAATAGCAGGAAGACCAGACTTGCATACAGTATTCCAAAAGTGGCCTCACCAATGTCCTGTACAGCTGCAACATGACCTCCCAACTCCTACACTCAATGCACTGACCAATGAAGGCAAGTGTACCAAATGCTTTCTTCACTACCTTGTCGACCTATGATACCACCTTCAAGGAACGATGAACTTGCACCCCAAGGTCTCTTTAGTTGGCAACATGCCCAAGTACCATGCTATTAAGTATTAAGTCCTGCCCTGATTTGCTCTATCAAAATACAACACCTCATAGGAATGGGGAATAAATACCAACTCATGAATGAATAAAAGGTGTGTCTTCATGGTTCCAAACCACATTCTGCTAAAGTTTCCAATTGGTGACATAACTCACATCATTGTATCTCTTACGAAATAATTGCAAAATACTGCAGATACTGGAAATCTGAAACAAGCACAGAGAAGTGCTGGAGAAACTCAGCAGGACTGGCCGCATCTGTGGAGAGAGTAGCAGAATTAACATTTCAAGCCCAGTATGACTCTTCTTCAGAAACCCTCAGAAGAAGAACTTTGAAGAAGAGTCATACCAGACTCGAAACATTAACACTGTTCTTCTCTCCACAGAAGCAGCGAGACCTGCTGAGTTTCTCCAGTAGTTCTCAGTGTTTGTTTCACTTCACCTCCTGGTTGGTGAGCTTTGGTATTCCATGTCTAGCATTATCCCGTTTCTCACACCCACTCTGATGTTGTTTGCAAACCCTTCAAACACATTTATCCCCATTTTCAGGGGCTTCTCAGAAAACATCTCACAAGCCCACTAAACCTGCTACTTTTCACTGTCTCTCCTGCCTGCATAATGTTCATCAAAGTCTCTACACTGCTCGCCTCTCTTCCCAACATTTGGCTCTGAAATATATTTCACTACATTTACCTATCAACAGCAAAACAACAATGGCAGCTTGCATTTATATAGTGCCTGCAACACAACGCTCTACCAGAGTGTAATCTGATGACAAGCAAATGAAGGCAATACAAGGGCAGACGACCAAAGGCTCAATGGCAAAGCAGGTTTTAAGAAGCCTCTAAAAGGAGGGATAGAGAGGCAGACAGGTCAGGCAGAGATCACAGCCTGGCATACGGAAGGTACAGGCTGCCAATGGTGGAATAATGGGAATCAGGGATAAACAAAAGCTCAGAGTTGTTGGAGAACTGTCTGGGCAAAAGAGACTGGGTGGCCAAGACAATGGACGGATTTGAAGACATGGATAATAAGTTTAAAATCAAGGCATCACACCAAAAGGAGACAGTGCAAGTTAGTGAATTCTGCAATGGCAGGTGAACAGGACTCAGTGTGTGTTGGATACAAGCAGCAGACGTTGTATGAGCTCAAGTTTGTGAGCGGTGGAGATGGTATGTCAATGAGGAGAGTGTTAGAATGATTGAGTCTGGAGGTAACAACGATGTGATATTGGTTTTAGCAGCGTATGAGCTAAGGCAGGATGGAAGTAGGTAACGCCACAGAGATGGAAATAGGTGTGAATATAGAACATAGACCAGTACAGCACAGGAACAGGACCTTCGGCCCATCATGTCTGTGCCGACCATGGTGCCATTCTAACACTCTTGACAATGGAGGTCAGAGGTATAGCTCAAAATCAAACAGGATGTCAAGGTTGCAAACAATTGAGTTCATTCACAGACAGGGGGCAGCAGTAGGGACAGAGACAACAGGGAGGGTGTGGAAGTGGGGAGGGGGAAGCAAACGGAAATTCAACCTCAGCTGATTCAGGAGACTCACGCTTCGGTTTTGTAGGAGAAGCATCGCTCCAGTGGGATCTTCAATACTCTCCCGTTCAAGCCGACAAACAGAGACCGATCGCTGTGAAGGATCTGCAGGCTTCGTATAGGCTCCTGTTTGCCAGGTGGTACCAGCTGTAGCTCTTCCAAGTAGCAACCTCGCAAATTCTTGCTGTCCAGTGAGAGGGTTTTCAGAATGGTGCCACGCTCTGAGTTTAAAAAGAAACAATCAAGGGAGTGCAAGTTAATCCTGATGGACAGAGGGCGGTGTCAGCTGCATTGCTGAATTGAATTCCAATTTGCAAACTCGGGAATCAAATTCAAGAATCTACATTCTTACATTCTTGCAAAGAGCTGGTGAACACAGGGCACAGATAATGAGGATGAATTGTGATAAGGTACAACGTGCTACCTTTGGAATTTGGTGCAGGTTATCTCCTGTTCAACAATCTGACTCTAGCCTTGAAATTTCAAACTGCATTCTAATTATGAAGCTGACATTAACAGAAACTGCCTCGCAGTGGTAGTTATTAGCCCATAGATTGAAAACGGTTACCCAAATAGGTGTTTATCACTGGGGCACAGCAAGCTAATTTAGCAGCTCCAATTCGGGAGTGAGTAACCAGCCTTTTATAAAAGCAGACGGGTTTTGCAATCACAGAGTCAAGATAAGACCAGAAGAAATAGGAACAGGAGTAGGCCATTCGGCCCCATTGAGCCTTCTCCACCATTCAGTTGGTTCTTGGCTGATCCGACATTCCTCATATCCATTTTCCTGCATTTTCCCCTTCATCCTTGATTCCCAAATAATGGGGCACAACTGGGATGGGAATGAACACTAACTTGGGAATTTGATTCAAAGGCAGAATGAGGTGTTGCTTTTTTAAAGCTTTTGGGAGCATTCAGGATCTGGTGAGTGTTCAAAGTAATTAATTAGGTGGGTAGCGATACAGGACATGACAATCAAAGTGTGACAGAAAGGGACACAGAACATAAATGCAAAGGTGTACTACCAAATACGGTTAGAGAAATGTCTTTAAACTAACAGGAAGGGAGGAGCATTCAGGTGCAAGGAAGACTTAGAAATTCAAATATATGAGTTGAGGCAAATGAAAAGTCTGCTGATGTGGGTAAAGACAAACAGAATTAGACAAAAAGAGACTGAGAGTTTAACAGTGCAAGGTCCATGCTGGGATTAGTAGTAGGAAAACACAATTTAAGTCACTTGATCTGAATGTGTGGAGCATTCACAACAAAATAGATGAACAATCTCTCAAAAAAAAATCCAGTGGCACAAATAGAGATAAATTGTTTACATCTAAACACTATTTCAGGGTACACAACATTCTAAGAGGAAAGCCAACTGGAAAGGGAGGAGGGGTAGACCTGATAACAAAGGATGACTTGAGGGATTATAACACGTAAAAAGCGTTTAGATGGGTACAGGAATGGGAAGGATTTAGAGGAAAATGGGCTAAATGCTGGCAAATGGGACTAGACTAATTTAGCACATCTGGTCAGCATGGACAAGTTGGATGGAAAGGTCTGTTTCCATGCTGTTCATCTCTCTGACTTGAGTGAGAAAGGATTCTGGATCAGACAGTCATATTGTTATGGCTGGAAATAAGGAATAGCAAGGGTCAGAAAATACAGGTGGATTGTTTTATATGATCCTGAACAATAATTATACCATTGACAGAGCATTAAACAAGAAATTATTGGTGTTTGTAACAAAAGGAATGCAAAGGTTATGATGAGCATTCATCACCAAATAGGCAGAACCAATCAAATTGACAAAAGGTGATATGGAAAGACAATTTGTAGAATGTTTTCACAAGGTTCTTCTGCAGTAATATATTGTGGAACCAATGAGAGATAAAGTTGTTTTAGTCTCGCATTGTGCTATGAGGCAAGGTTAATTAGTATGTCCACAGGGAAATAGCGATCATAATACAACTGACTTCAACATTACATTTGAAAGTGATATACTCCAAGCACAAACAAGAATTTTGAAATTAAAAAAAAATTCACATAAATATGAGGCTATGGTTAACTGTGCAAAAAGACTAAAAGCTATGCTGGTAAACAGCAGTGGGAAATACTTAATGAAACAATTCAAAATGTTCAACAGAAATACATTACATTCAAATTACATGTTTTCAACAGGGAAGACATACTAAGACATACAAAGACTCCATGTGTTACTAAGGTGGTTAAAAATACTATTTGATTAAAAGAATAGACTTTAAATATTGCAGAGGATGTCTGAAGATTGGGCGTATTTTAGATTTCAGCAAACGCCCACTCAATTGGGTGGCATGGTGGCTCAGTGGTTAGCACTGCTGTGTCACAGCCTTAGGGACTCCGGTTCAATTCCACCCTTGGGTGACTGTCTGTGTGGAGTTTGCACATTCTTCCTGTGTCTGCGTGGGTTTCCTCTGGGTGCTCTGGTTTCCTCCCACAGTCCAAAGACGTGCAGGTTAGGTGGATTGGCCTTGCCAAATTGCCCTTCGTGTTCAGGGATATGTAGATTAGGTGAGTTATATGGGTCTGGGTGGGATGCTCTGAGGATCGGTGTGGACTTGTTGGGCCGAAGGGCCTGTTTCCACATTGTAGGGATTCTATGGAAAACGTTGATTAAAAAGTTAAAATACAGAGAATGAGGGTCAACTAATCAGGAATATAAAAATTACCTTAAGGACCTTTTGCAAGTGTTTAAAGAGAAGGGGAGGGGCCTTGTGATGTAGTGGTGATGTCCCTACATCTGAGGCAGGAGGCTAAGGTTCAATTCCATACGACCATTAAGATATAGGAGCAGAATTAGGCCATTCAGCCCATTGTGTCTCCTCCACCATTTGATCGTAGTTGATATGTTTCTCAACTGCATTCTCCATAACCGTTGATACCCTTGAAAATCAACAACCTATCTATCTCTGTCTTAACTACACTCAATAACTTGGCCTCCACAGCCTTCTGCAGCAATGAGTTCCATAGATTAACCACGCTCTGGCTGAAGAAATTCCTCCTCATCTCAGTTCTGAAGGGTTGTCCCTTCACTCTGAGGCTGTGCCCTAGGGTCCTAGTCTCTCCTACCAGTAGAAATACCTTCTCCACATCCACTCTATGCAGGCCTCTCAGTATTCTGTCCATTTCAATCAGATCAACCCCTCGTCCTTCTAAACTCCATCAAGTACGGCACATTTAATCCAGAGGTGTGTCATACCACATCTGAACGGGTTGATTAAAATATCTATGAGGAGAAAGAGAGCAGCTAAAGTGGCTACTTAGAAGTAGAGACAGGAGAAATTATCTTGGAGAATGAGGAAATGCCGGAGCCATTACTTTGAATGCCACTACAAGCCAATACAAAGAACAAATACTTTGTGTCTGTCTTGTCAGTAGAAGACACAAGTTAAATACCTGAAATAGGGGTCAGTAGAAGAACGATAATTACCTTAAGAGAAGAGAACTTGTTCTGGAGAAACTTAGGGGACTGAAATCCAACAAGTTCTCAGGACCTGATGGTTACACCAAATGTTCTGAATGAGATGGTTACAGAGATAATGGATTCACTGACAATGATGTTGCAAAATTCACTAGATTCTGGAATGGGCCCAGAGTGGGCAGGAAAGCAGAGTTGGACCTCAAGGTCAGTCATGGTCACAGAAAGTGCTGGAGAAACTCAGCAGGTCTGGCAGCATTTGTAGAAAAGCAAACAGCATTAACATTTCTAATGCAGTATGTCACTTCTTCAAAACTCCATTCCAGAATTCCAAAGATGCTGAACAAATTTTCGAAGAACAGTCATGTTGGATACAGAGTGTGAGCTTTGGTTGGGGAACAAAGAACAAGGGGATATGCTGAAAGAGGAGCCAGGAGTAAAATCAAGAGACATGTCTACAGGTTAAACAGGGTTGCAGAAATCTGTAACTTTCTGTCCCCATACACACACATGACTATTGATTCCACAAGTCAAATGGAGATTTCAGGAGTGCTATTTGTATTAGTTTAGGCTATAGATGTATCTAATTTACAAGAATGATTCCAGGAATGAGAAATGTCTGAGATGGGGATAGAGTGAAGAAATTGAGATTGATCTCCCTGAAGAGAAGAAGTCTGAGAGGAGATCTGATAGAGGTTTTCAAAATCACGTGTGGACTGGCTAGAGTAGATGGGGAGAAGGTGTTTCTGCTCGTAAAAGGAACAAAAACAAGAACAAGATTTAAAGTGATCTGCAAAAGAAGCAAAGGCAATGTGAGAAAAAAACTTTTTCACTCAGCGAGTAGTTGGGGTCTGGAATGCACTGCCTAAAAATGTGACAAAGTCAGGTTCAATTGAAGCAATCAAGAATGCATTGGATGATTATTTGGACAGAAATAATGTGTTTGGGTATGGGGAAAGCAGTTCTTATAGGCAACAAGGGATGGGCAATAAATGCTGGCCCACAATGCCTACATCCTATGAGTAAATAAAAAAGTCTGAAGTCCCTCATTTATCACAGAATCCCTACAGCGTGGAAGCAGGTCATTAAGACCATCGTGTCCACACTGACCCTCCAAAAACCATCCCACCCAGACCCTTCTACCATATCCCTGTAATCCCACATTTCCCATGGCTAATCCACCTAGCCTGCACATCTCTGGGCTGTGGGAGGAAACCCATGCAGTCATGGGGAGAATGTGCAAACTCCACACAGACAGTCATCCCAAGGGTGGAATCAAACCCGGGTCCCTGGCGCTAAGAGACAGCAGTGCTATCCACTGAGCTACCACGCCGCCCAAGCACCATCTTCACTGCCCTCAGGAGATGTGTGGCAGCAGGATACAGGGGTGAGGTGGGTGTGGAGGAAAGAGGAAGGAAAGGACTTACCTGTGCCGATGTACATCACATGGTAGAGCGTGTCCCGGCCTTGCACAATGTCCACGGCAATCTTGGAGAACCGCATGTTGTCGTGAGTCACAAGGGGGTCAACGGTGACGGGTTGCACCACATCATTCATGAGGAAGAAGCGCTGAGCGTCCTGGAGGCTACGTTCTGTCAGGTTCTCATTGGGTCCGTGGTTTTGGAGGGAACCACACTAAAGGGTGAGCAAACACAATGGAAACATTCAGCGTTGCTTCAGTTCTTCAACCCACATTTCCTGCAACTTTCCCCCACCCTGAGGCCATCCCGGTGGTACAATAACTTCAGTACAATCACCAATGGATAGAAGGTGGCCATTCACCTCATCAAGTCTATGCTGGCCCTCTGCAAGTGTAAGTTGCCCACCATTTTCCGCACACACCTGAAACTTTCTTTTCTCGGACCAAGTGTCTCATTTTCTGTGAAGAGGAGAAGCCTGAGAGGAGATTTGACTACATTTTTCATAACCGTGCAGGGCTTGGATAGAATAGATAGGGCAAAATTGTTCCTGTTCGTAGAAGAGTTGAGAATGAGAGGGCACACATTCAAGGGAGTTTGCAAAAGAAGGAAATGCATGGTGAGAAAAATCTTTTCGCACAACGAGCAGTTAGACTCTGGAGCACACTGCCTGGAAATGTGGTGGAGGCTGAGATATTCAAGAAGGCTTTGGCTGGTTACTTAAATAGGAACATTGTGCAAAGTTACGGGGGGGGGAAAGGCAGAAAAATGATTGGGAGTCATCGTACTCATCAGAGAGACAGTATAGACACAATGGGCTGAATGGCCTCCTCTACACCATAATAATTGCATGATAGTGTGATATGTATTAATAAATAATATTTTATTTAGAAGGGATTGGGGTATAAGAGTAACCTGATGTATGGTGTACAGTGTTAGTCTCCACAACTCAAGAAAGAATTAAGTTACCTTTGAAGGTGTGCATTGAAGCTTCACTAGAATGGTTCCTGGGAGAAGGGGATTGCCTTGTAAGGGCAGATTGAGTGAACTGAACTGATATTCCCTGGAATTTAGAAAATTGGGAGGCTAACAAGTTTAAAATTCATGAAAATTTTAGGGACAGATACTGAGAAAATAGGTTCCATGGCTGTGGGGTGCAGATCAAGGGATCACAGTCTCACAGCGAGGGGTCGGCCATTTTGGAGCCAGGTGAAGAGAAATTTCTTCAGCAAAAGGTTGTGAAACTTTTGGAATTCGCAACCCTAGAGAGCTGCAGAGGCTCTTTCAAGACTGAGGTCTATAGATATAGAACATAGAACAGTACAGCACAGGAACGGGCCCTTCAGCCCATGATGTTGTGCTGAACATGATGCCAAATTTTACTAATCCCCTCTGCCGGCCCTTGGTCCATATCCCAGCATTCCTTGCATGTTCATGTGCTTATCTAAAAGCCCCTTAAATGGCTCTATCGTATCCACCTCCGTCACCACCCCTGGCAGCGTGTTCCACACTCCTACCACTTACTGTGTAAAAAATTTGCCCCTCACATCTCCTTTGAATTACCACCTCACACCTTAAATGCATGCTCCCTAGAATTAGACATTTCAACTGGGGGAAAAAATTCTGACCATCAGCCCTATCTATAAATCTCACAATTTTATAGACTTCTTTCAAGTCTCCCCTCAGCCTCTGTTATTCCAGTGTAAACAACGTTCAATTTTTCAAGCCTCTCCTTATAGCTCGTACTGTCTAATCCAGGCAGCATCCTGGTAAACCTCTTCCAGTTGGGATACATAGGAACTGAGGGATAGAGAGAGAGTGTGGGAAGCTGGAGACACAGTAGAAAATCAGCCATGCTCCAAATCATATTTCTGATGATCGCACAAAAGGTCAACTCTACAATAAAGGAGAAATAAAATTCTAGATTTATAGGAAGAAGAATGACTTGCATTGATTATATCATCGATCAATAATTGAACTTCTCAAAGCCCTTTAATGGTATTGAAGTATTTGTGAAGTGCAGTCACTGTTGGAAAGTAGCAAAAACACATATGGCTCTCCACCAAGTCAGCACGCACTCATTGGAGCGAATGGCCACCTAGCAGTGGTGTGCTATTTTATAAACACCAATTCTTTGGCTGTCCCTGGAGTCAACAAATAGAATGGAGAGGGACAGGTTGGTGGTTGGACAAGGGACTGGAGGATCAGGAAGTGAGGGGGAGGATAACCCAGGGCTGGGGAGAATCCTGCTCCCCTCCTGAGGGGACATTTCTGCCTCTCCTGCATCAGCTCACCCACACCTCACATCACAACAAGCTTTTTCTAATTCGTTCATGGGATATGAGTGTTACTCACCATTATTGCCCATTCCTAAATGCCCTGGAGAAGGTGAGTCATTACCTCAAACCAGCACAGTCCATGTTGTGTAGGTATAGGGACTTCCAGGATTTTCATCCAGTGACAATAATATTATAATTTCAAATCAGGAAGGTTGGAGGGGAGCTGCCAGATGACTGGTGTTCCTATGTATCTGCTGCCCTCGGTGGAAGTGATTGTGGGTTTGAAAGGTGCTGTTTAAGGATTTTTGGTGAATTTTTGCAGTGCATCTTGTAGGTAGTACACATTGCTGCGACTGAACATTGGTGATGGAGGGAGTGGATGTTTGTGGATGTGGTGCCAATCAAGCGGCTGCTTTGTCCTGGATGGTGTCAAGCTTCTTGAGTATTGTTGGAGCTGCACTCATCCAGGCAAGTGGGAAGTATTCCATCACACTCCTGACATTCACACTTACGTTGGTACACCTATCCTGCCAGTGGAGTTGTAGAATTTTGTGAAGGAATTGCTGGTGATAACGCTCCAGAGATCTGAGATGCCTTCAGTACATGTTTCTGATGCATACAGGATGGTGGGGTCCACAGCTGTTCTGTAGACCATGAGGTTGGTGCTGGGTTTGAGATCTTAGACGTGAAACACTCAGTTCTCAGACAGCTGAAGGCTGCACCCGCGCATTGGAGTCAATGTTGGATTTCATTGTCAATATTTTCTCACACAGAGAGGAGGCTCCCAAGGTATGAGACATTATCCACGTTTCCCAGGGGCTCACCATGGATTTTAATGGTCAGGGAACAGTGTTGTGTGACAGGAATGGGCTGGTAGAGAACCTTTGGTCTCTAGATGTTTAGTCTGAGGACGATTCTCTCATACGTTTCGGTGAATGCACCAATGTTGGTTTGTACCTCAGTAGAATCGATACTAGCACAGTTCAGATGGCCCCAACAGTCTGTTTCCATGCTGTCTGTCTGTGCTATGTAATATATCTCTAACTTCCCGTAAAGACTTCTATCAAGCCCAAAAGGCAGGCTTCATTATGTATTCCTGGCTGACAGCCCAGACATCCATTATTCGATTGAAACACCAGAGCCCCTGTTTGATGAACAGCAATGGCTCTTTGAACGCAGCTGTCAATTTCACAATGTCTATTTGTATGAGGTTAAGAGGTTTCAACTTCTTGCAGAAGAAAGGATTTTTTTTAAAGGGCCAAATGTAAAGTAACGAATGCACATCTTTTATTTTTAACTATTACTTACACACCCCATTTTCACCATAGCATTCATTGCTTTATACAGGATACAGAAGACAAATGGGATTGCAAGTATCAATGCCTGGTATGTAGGCATGAGGGTGGGAGGAATAGCCTGGCAGGGTGGTGCATGAGGGGACCCTGGGGGTGGGGAGCATATTCAGGCATTGTGTGTATGAAAGGCATGGGGGTTGCCCAATGGAGATGGGTGAGGGGGTGCACAGCCAGACATAAGGGAAGTTGGTGGGTTATGGGTTTGAGGGGGAGGGTGTCACCGGCTTGGAAGGGAATCAGAGCCAGGCATGGGGGGCAGGGGGATGGCGATGAAAGGTTGTGGAATGTTGTGTGGAGGAGAGTGAGTAGCACGGATGGGGCATGGGGAATATGTGATGGGAAGTGGAGGAGACAGTGAGAAGTGGGGTTGGCCTGAGTGCAGCCCATCCACACCTTATCACTATAACAAGGAAGATCCCATCTTTCCTAACACTTTCTTCTGAGATGAGTGAGCTGAGCTGGGAACTTCCCAGAGTCCTGGCACCTTCCCCACCAATGAAAATCCAGGTCAATGAACAAATTCAGAAAAAAGTTGGATGGACAGGAGAGAAATAAATTTGCAGAGCTATGGAGGAAAAGGAATCCTGGGATTACTCTATGGAGACAGATGGCACGGACCTAATGGGCTGAACGACCTCTCTCTCTCTTTGCACATTAATGACACTATGACAATAAGTGAGAAACACTTGGAATATATCTCACAGGAATCAAAAAGGAAATCACTGGAGACATTTTCAAGGTGAATCTCATAATGGGGGAGAGTTGGCTCACTGGCAGTGAAAAGTCATCTACCTGGAAGTTCGGAATGGGATTTGTGGCTGTCAGCCAGGCGGATCGAGGGTTCTCCTGGTAGCGGAAAGGTCCGTTGAAGGTCTGAGCAATGGAGCTGAGGTTGTATGCACAAACCGCAGAGGCTGCAATGCTGTTCCTGTTGAAAACAAAAACAGGGAGGTGGTTACTGACTGGGTTCATCGACAGGACCTGCATCAGTGTCTGTTTATTCACAGGATTCTCTTGGTAGGCCAGTATCTATGGTCTAACCCTAATTGCCCAGATACTGATTGGCTCACTAGGCTCTTTCAGGTTCAACCACATTGCTGTGGGTCGGGAGTCACATGTAAGGCCACAGGTATTAGGAGCAAAATTAGGCCATTCAGCCCATCAAGCCATCTCCGCCATTCAATTATATCATTTCTGATCTGATAATGCTCAACTCCACTTTCCTGCCTTTTCCCCATAACCCTTGATTCCATTCCTGCATAAAAACTGGTCTATCTCAGTCTTAGATATACTTAATGACCAGCCTCAACAGCCCTTTGTGATAAAGCGTTTCACAGTTACACTATTGTCTAAAAGAAGAAATTCCTCCTCATCGCTGACTTAAATGTTTGATCCATTATTCTGAGATGATACCCACTGGTCCTAGACTCATCCACAAGTGGGAAACAACCTTTCCACATCTATCCTACCAAGTCCCCAGCATGTTTCAATAAGATCCTGCCAAACCACATAAAGATGGCAGATTTCCTTCCCCAAAGGACATTAGATTTTTTTTTATTTGATGGTCACCAATAGGCTAGCATTTAATTCCAAATCCTTATTGAATTCCAATTTCATCATGGCAGGATTTGAACCCATTTGCCCAGAAGGTTAGAGCCTTGAGCTGCTGGATTACTACTCCAGTGACATTGTAGCCACCAACTGCTCAGAATGCACACTCCACTATTTGTTCTGTTTCCCTCCACTACCTGGCTTCCCATTTTTGGCAGCTATTTAATTTCATAGAATCACTGAATCCCTACAGTATGGAAGCCATTTGGCCCCCCACCAACCCTCTGAAGAGCATCCCACCCAGACCCAGCAACTCCCACCCCCCAACATTATCCCTGTAACTCTGCATTTCCCCTAGTCAATCCATCTAACCTGCACATCTTTGGACTGTGGGAGGAAACCAGAGCACCTGGAGGAAACCCACGCAGACACAGGGAGAATGTGCAAACTCCACACAGGCAGTCGCCCGAGGGTGACTTGTTCCAAGGCTACTGCTAAGAGCACCTTTACAGGCCAACTTAGGGGTGTTACACAGGCCTGTGCTCACTCCCAAATAGATTCATAGAATCATGGAATTTACAGTAAAGAGGGAGGCCATTCGACCCATCGTGTCTACGTAGGCTCCCAAAAGAGCTACCCAGCTAGTCCCACTCTCCACCTCTATCTCCATAGACCTCTAACTTCATCACTTTCAGATATATGGGAAGGCAATGGCGTAATAGCATTATCACTGGACTGTTAATCCAGAGACCCAGATAATGTTCTGGGGACCCAGGTTCAATACCTGCATGGTAGATGGTGGAACTTGAATTCAATAAATATCTAGAATTAACAGTCTAATGATGACCATGAATCCATTGTTGATTGATGGGAAAAAACCCATCTGGTTCACTAAAGTCCTTTAGGGAAGGAAACTGCCATCCTTACCTGGTCTGGCCTACATGTGACTCCAGACACAGAGCAATGTGGCTGACTCTCAACTGCCCTCTGGGCAATAAATGCTGCCTAGCCAGCAACACCCTCATCCCATGAATGAATAAAAAAAAAATCCAGCTCTCTTTTGAAACCTCGTATGGAATCTGCCTCTAGGCAGCGCATTCCAAAACCTAGCAACTCTGAATAAAAAAGTTTCTCCTCATCTCACTCAATTTCTTGCTGTCAATCTTGAAATTGTGGCCCTTTAATTGGTGACATACCAACTAGTGGAAACAGAATACCCTTTTTTACCCTGTCAAAATTATGCATAATTTTGAATTATAGCATACCAGATTGCAGCCAATTATGTCTATGCTGGTTCTTTGCTGGCCATTCAATTGGCCCCACACCGCTTGCTCTGCAAATGCTTTCCCCTTCGCATAATAATCCCATTCAAATTGAGTTTCCAGTTTGGGTTGGATGTGTTCATTGGAGGATTTATCCCATCCAGTAGTCCCACTCTCAGGATTTTCTGATGAAAAGTAATTGACCTGAAATATCAACTCTGTTTCTCTCTCCATCAGTGCTGCCAGATGTGCTACGTTTCTCTGGCACTTTGTGTCTTTATTTAAGATCTCCAGCAACTGCAGTATCCTTCCTATGGATTTTAGTGTGAATAGACGTCCATTCTTCTTTGGAATGGAGGTCACAAACCGCCTGCTTTCCCAAGGACTGCCAAATCTCACCACAGCGTCCTGTCCAAATGGTTCCCTCAGGGATCATCAGTGGCTCAGTGGTTAGCACTGCTGCCTCACAGCGCCAGGCACCCAGGTTCAATTCCACTCTCGGGCGACTGTCTGTGTGGAGTTTGCACATTCTCCCTGTGTCTGCATGAGTTTCCTCTGGGTGCTCCGGTTTCCTCCCACAGTCCAAAGATGTGCAGGTTAGGTGCATTGGCCATGCTAAATTGCCCCATAGTGTTCAGGGGTGTGTAGATTAGGTGGGCTGTAGGGGGAATGGGTCTGAGTGGGATGCTCTGAGGGTCAGTGTGGACTTGTTGGGCTGAAGGGCCTGTTTCCACACTGTAAGGATTGTATGATGAAAATAAATGAACAGATGATCTGGTGCTGTCATAGAGTCATACAGCACAGAAACAGACCCTTCGGTCCAACCAGTCCATACTGACCGTAATCCCAAACTAAAATAGTCCCACCTGCCTGCACTTGGCCCATATCCCTCCAAATATTTCTTATTCATGTACTTATCCAGATATCTTTTAAACATTATAACTGTACCCGCATCTACAACTTCCTCTGGAAGTTCATTCCACACACGAACTACTCTCTGTGTAAAAGAAAATGCCCCTCATGTCTTTTTAAAATCTTTCACCTCTCACCTTAAAAATATAATCCCTAGTCTTGAAATCCTAGGGAAAAGGCACCTTATCTATCCTTCATGGTTTTATAAACCTCTACAAGGTAATCCCTCACCGTCCCACACTCTAGTGGAAAAGACGTCCTAGCCTATCCACCCTCTCGTTATAAATCAAACCCTCCATTCCTGGCAACATCCTGGTAAATCTTTTCTGGAGCCTCTCCAGTTTAATAATATCCTTCCTATTCTAACAGGGTGACCAGAACTGTCATTGGAATCTTACAATGTACAAACTGGCTAGTGTTTTGCAAGGCCCAACTGGTGCGTATGTGGAAGAGGGAAATGTTGGTTACAAGTCTGCCAGTTGCAAAAGAAATATTCAAAGAAATACAATACAGTACATTCTAATGTATTTTGATTGAAAAAAAAATCTAAATGTCAAAAGCACAGTGCAATTGACCCACTGGGCACTGGAAACTCTGATAGCATGTGATCAAGATCATCAACAGAACCAGCTCTTACACCTTCAGTAGTACCTGATGTGGAGGAGATGGGATTTAGACTAGTAGCCCTCTTGAATAAATATCTTAGAGCTGTTTGTTTGCACACTTTCGTTTTGTTTTGTAAAAACTGGGAATGCAGGAGGTGAAACTGCACAATGGAAGAAAGGTCACTGGACCTGAAGCATCAACTCTGCTTTCCCTCCACAGATCCTGCCAGACCTTCTGAGTTTTTCCTGCAATTTCTGTTTCTGTTTCAGATTCCCAGCATCTTTGTTTTTATTTATATGCAATTCAGGCTGCCAAATTCAAATAGAGGTTTATGGGGAAACTTTATAAAAATAGCCAATGTTTGTTGAAATTTTTTGCCAGTTGCTTGAGAATTCCAGATGCTTGGGGACTGGGTAACGGCTACTGCACCTTTCAAAGATTCTGAAAAACCAAACAGGTCAAGTATCAATCTTTAACCCCTTCCAACTCATGGTAAGAGTGAAAGAGGTTCCTGATGTGTAAGAAAGATTGTTGGTGTGTCCACCATCACTGTTCCTAGCTCTAGACTATAAGATACATGGAAAAAGTGCCACAGTGTCACAGCAACTTAGAGAAAACTGTAACAACCGCCATCATTCAAGGAACATAGGGACAGAAGAAGGCCATTCAGCCCTTTAAGCCTGTTCTACAGGACTCCTCCTGCAGAAAAGCAGAAATTAATCACATGCAAAGCAAGAGCCTACAAAACAATGCAAGATAAATAACAGGGTTTTTAATGAGGTTGCGGAATAAGTATTTGTCAGGACATGGGTGAAAGCTCCCCACGCTCTCCTTTCAAGAGTGTCGTGGGATCTTTTCTGTCCACCTGAGGGGGCACATGGAGTTTTAACTTCTCATCCTAATAGACTGGATTTCTGACAGTGAGCTGCAGAAATAAGGAGAGACAACAGGGATTCAAACACTCAATTCCACTCAAAGAACATGCTTGTACCATTCCAGTGTGACTTGCATTGCTGTCTGCAGGAAATGTGGGATCAAGCAATGTGTGTTTATGAACCAGAGAGGATGACAGCAAACAAGTCTAAATGGGGCTGTTTGGCGCGTATCAACCATAAATCTGGAGCAAACTGGAACTGACATCTCCGATTAAGTACAAGGCTCAATTTACTGATCGCTCATCTGTGCCAAATATTCCTGAGGAAGTAATCAGCATTTAGCAGCAACTCACTTGACATGGGGTTGAGTTGCACACTCAGACCCTTCCACGTAATACCCAAATGAATTCTGGGCCCGTTTAAAAAATGGCTTCATTTGTTACTGAGTGACAAGTACAATGTTATTGCAGCATTCTGGCTTAATGCCAGCAGCTTCTTGTTTCCATCCTGAACCTGCAGGAGCAAGATAGAAAGGAACAACCACGAAGAGCTGAAACTCACTTTGCATCAGACCATTGGCCAGCAAGTGACTCACAGCAAACAGAAATCCATGGAACTCATGTTAAAAGATGTAGAGTCTCTCTCCCACCCTGGTGCTTTAAGTCACAGAATTGTTACAGTGCAGAAAGAGGCCATTCATCCCATTCTGTCTCTGGTCTGAA